CGGCGCGGCCGCGGAAGGCTCCGACGGCGACGACGACGACGACGACGCGATGGTGTCGGAGGACGCGCCGCTCGTCACGACGGCGGCGAACACGCCGCTCGTGTCCTTCGTCTTCACGTCCATGGAGCAGCTGTCGGCGCCCGCTTCGAGCGCGGCCGCCGCCGCGCCCGCGCCCGCGCCCGCGCCCCCGGCGCCGGCGGCCCCGGCGCCGGACGCGTCGCTCTCGGCGCCGGACGCGGCGCTCCCGGCGCGCGACGCGGCGCTCCCGGCGCGCGACGCCACGCCGGCGGTGGCGGCCACGGCTTCCGCGCCGTCCGCCGCGGTCGCCGACGACGACAGCGACGACGAGGACCTCCTGGGCGGGCCGCGGCGGCCGCGGCGGCCGCGCCGCGCCGCGCCGCGCCGCGACGAGCTCCTCGACGAGCTCATGGCCGCGGACGCCGGCTCCACGCCGCCGCCGCCGTGCACGCTCGCCGCGGTCCACGCAGAGCCGACGGTCGACCTGCGAGGGCCGGAGTTCCTGGCTCGGGCGCGCCGCGAAGCCGACGCCGCCCGCCCCGTGCTCGTGGAGGACGAGGACGGCGCCGTGGCCGAGCTCGAGGGCGCCACCGAGGGCGTCGAAGACCACTTCGCGCGCGCCGAGCGCGCGGTGCTCGCGCTGCTCCACGACGACCCCGCGTTCCGCGACGCCGGCCCCGCGGACCGCGACAAGGCCGACCTCGTCGTGGGCCTCCTCTTCCAGCCGTCCATCGAGAGCGAGTTGGACGTGCGCAGGCGCGCCGCCGACTTCCAGGACCTCCACCACGACCTGCGCGCCGCCATCCGGCTCGCGGTCCGGGAGGCCTCCGCGCGGACGACCGCGGACGACGAGCGCGACGTCCTCGGGGATGGCGCGCAGACGCTCGAGCACCTAGCGGTCATGACCTAGGGCGTAAGTCCGCACCTGGCAGTCGTGGGGCATGTCCTTGGAAAGGCTAGTTATAAATTCCATCGGTCCGTTCTGGTCTAACGGCGACACAAAATTCCGGTTGCACCACATGCCGCACAATTGCCCGCAGGACGTTTTGCGCCTCAGGCGGCCCACACGGCCGCTTCGGATCCGCCGCCGCCGCGCGATCAAAGCGGTGGGTTCCGAACCAGTCCTGGTACCCCCCTTCGCTGAAAGCCAAAGCGACACTGTAATGCAGCCCCTCGATCGACCCCGTCCGCAGGACCGAATTTAAAGTCACCCCTTTCTTGGACGCCGGACCCGCGCGCACGCCGCTCGGCGGCACCTTGCCAAAATTAGACCTGTGCGCCAGCTCCTCCATCCCGTCCTCCGCGCCCTTTCGAAGGGTGACCAGTGTATTGCCAAAGGTTCCTTTTGCGACCACGTCGCAAGGCCCCGTGGACCGCGCTACCCGCTGCAGAGCTCGGCCAAAGTCGTCCTCCGGCGGCTTGCCCAGCACTGCTTTCGCTGCCGTCATAGTGCGACCCGCGTCCTCCAGCCCGGCGCACAGCGCCTGGCCTCGGAGA